TAGGCCCTGAAGGTAGAATGTTTCTCAATTAAAAAAAAAAGACTTAGGGGAAGCTAAGCATGGTAAGGCACACTTGTAATCCCAGCACTCTGGGAGGCTGAGGCAGGAAGATTACAAGTGTGAACCTAGTCAAGGCTATGTAGTGACCTAGTGAGACATCTAAAAATTAAAGAAAGTGGGTAGTGCTGCTCAGGATGTAGCTCAGTGCAGCAGCCTTGGTTCAATCCTCAGTACTGCTAAAAAAAAAAATTTAGGGCCCATGGGGAGGTGTGGCTCAGTGGTAGAGCTTGCCTAGCATCCATAAAGCCCTGGGTTTCATCTGAGGCATCACAAAACTTGTTTAGGGCACAGTGCTTAAATTGAGTGGAATGTACAGATAGAACTCTAATTTGAGGCCCAGTTTTGTTAATTGGTGCATTTTAAATGTTAAAATCTCATCTCATCTCGGTTTTTCCCCCTTTCTATGTCTATGTTCAGACCCTAAGTGATCTGGGGCTAGCAGAATGTGTGCACTAGACCTGGCATTTTCTCAGTACTTAAAACTGAAAGTTGCGGGCTGGGGATTTAGCTCAGTGGTTCTGCCACCTGCCTCACAAGTGTAAGGTCCTGAGTTCAATCCCTGGTACCAAAAAAAAAAAAAAGTATCTCTTGGGGGCCGGGGATTTAGCTCAGTGGTTTCGGAGCCTGCCTCACAAGCACAAGGTCCCAAGTTCGATCCCCGGTACCAAAAAAAAAAAAAAAAAAAAATTCCTGAAAGTTCCTTTTTTTCTTCCCGCTTGGGATTGTGGCTGCCTAAAGCCAACCTCCTTCCCCACCCTTTTCGTGTCTTTGAGCTTCTGGTGGTGGCTCTTGGTTTCTGTCTCCGGCTGATAAAGGGAAAAGGGAGAGGAAGGGGTCCTGGGTCTCTGGGGTACCCAGACTTCGGGATAATTGGTCCCTTTACCCCGCCTCCTCTTTTTTAAAGTAAAATCTTAAGAGTGGTTTGTACATCTGCATGGTGAGATCTTTCCCCTCTGTCTTCAGATGTTCACGATAAGCTCCTGCTGTTCCCAAACAGCCCCCGTGTTGAGCGTTTGTCCCTGTCTGTGGTTTCTGCTGCCGTTGTGGTTGCTGCCGGCCTGGGGAAGGCCAAGAGCAGTCTAAATGCATTTTGTTGTGTCGCTCACACCCTGCTTCAGAATGCCAGTTGTATATTGTTCCATTTTGGTCTAGAGGTCTCTCTCTAGAGAGTGGCTGTGAATTCCAGCCTTACCTCATGGAAGAGAGTTCCCTTCTGGTGTCTCCCAGGGTACACCCAGGCGAGACCCAGGGGAGACAGCACAATAAACACATGAAAGAACAGGTATTTTATTACTTCCCTCGTTGCTGGGACAAAATCCTGCAAATGAGAGGAGGAGAGGTCTGTTTTGGCTCTCGTTTTCAGCCCATAGTGAGCTGGAAGGCATGGTGTGGGAGGCTTGGACCCAGGAGAGCTGCTCTGGGCTTGGTGACCAGGAAGCAGAGAGGATCAAGGGAGCAATGGGGGCGGGAAGAGAGAGAAACCTTTCCAGGCCACACCCGAGGTGACCGCCTCTTCCAGCAGATCCCCTCTTCATAGCAGGTCAGCTGAATCCCCCAGAATCCAGTCACCTTCCAAAGCCCTGCCTTTGAGTGCAGGAGGCACAGCAGGACATCCAGACCCACACATCCCAAGATGAGAAGGAAGCCTGCACAGAGCAGTGTGCTCAGCTTGGGTCGGGAATGAGCGAGAGAGAGCTGTTTAGTGTGGTGCCTTCAGTAAGACTTTGTCCCTGAGGCTTTCCCCAACATGCTTCTGGGATTCCCTAGTAGCAAGAGCACCAGGGAAGCCAGGCACAGTGGCCTCTGCCTGTAGTCTCAGATATTCAGGAAGCTGAGGCAGGAGGGTACCTTGAGTTCAAGAGCAATCAGGGCAGCACAATGAGACCTTGTCTCAAGAAAGACAAGAAAAACACCAGGGGAGAGGGGACTTATATGACTCTGGTTTGAACCATTAGGTTGAACTCTGGCCAGCATCTGTGGATGTGGGTTTTTGGTCAGTAGATGAGGAACAAGTAGGGTGGATAGCCAACAGCTGCCTGAGCGGGGGAAGCTTGAACTAGGTTGGGGTGATCGGGTATCACTGAGTTCAAATAACTTCATGTGAGGCCTGAAAATGGGTGTAGAGGCAGCAATTATGTTAAAACAAAACACATCATGACACCTATGCATACAAAGCTAAGTATGCTGTTAATATACATACATAAAGAATATGATCTTTGATTCCATAGTGGGTATTGAAACTGAAATTGGAGCAAGACAAATCAGTTGGTGCCTGGCTCAGTCCACTCTGACTGTGCACACATTTTAATTTCCTCATAATAATGTAATAAGTCTGTATTTTAAGATATAAGAAGAGTTCTTAGCTTTCCATACAGTGACAAGATGCATCCTCCCGACAGTCCCCTATAGCCATCAAAGACTATTAATTACTCTTCATGTTTAGTCACATTCTTAATAAATGTTACCCAAAGACAGTATTATAAGTTTAGCTGCTAATCACAAGTAAAATAGAGTGGAAAGGACTTAGGATTGCATGTTTAGTTTATGTAAATAAATGCATACATATGACCTAACCCATACATTTACCAAGCAAAGAGAAAATAGACAAAACTGCTATATTTCTTGTTTCTATAAATGGTATTGAGGTTGTAGTTGATATCCATGGTTTACTGCATTTTTGTTTTTGGTGGTTGTGGTTCTGGGGATGGAACCTAGGGCCTTGGTACTAAGGTACATCACCAGACCTTTTTATTTTTTATTTTGAGGCAGGGTCTCACTAAGTTGCTCAAGCTGGCCTCAGACTTGCAATCCTTTTGCCTTAGCCTCCAGAGTAGCTGGAATTACAGGTGTCTGCCAGTGCATCTGCCTTCTGGAAACCATAGAAGCATCACAGAAGCAGTTAGTGTTCGTACACTTTATCCTTGTCTCTTGTATGCCAGGGTTAATTTTCCTTTGGCAATATAGCATTAATCAAGCCAGTAGATTAACACTTCCCTTGGCTTTTGCCTTTGGCTTGCTGGGTATTTACCCTTCCTTGACCTGTCTCAGCCCAGCATCTTTTGTGTCACCTCTGATGACAGATTGCTGCTGCATATGCCCATTATCGCTTGGTGTGTCAGACACCACCCAGTTCAAGGCAAGAAGCTCAGACCACCTGGTACTTGATGTCTCATGATTTTGTTTTGTTTTGCTTTTGTTTTTGTTTTTCTGGTACTGGAGATGGAACTCAGGACCATGTGCTTGCCAGGCAGGTGTGGCACCTGAACTACATCCCTAGCCCCCATGGTTTGTTGTTCAGTCTATTTTTTTTTTTAAGATAAGGTCTTACATTGTTGTTCTGTCCCAGGTTCGGTAATACATGTGGCTAGTGACCATTATGTTGTATAAACCAACCTCTGGTCACATTGAAAAGTATAGGTTGAGCATCCCTAATCTGAAAATCTGAAATCCAAAATGCTCTGAAGTCCAGAGCTTTTTGAATGCATGGCTGGTAACCATGCATTCAGGTAAAATTTATGCAAATATTCCAGAACCTGAAAAACTCTGAAAACTGAAATGCTTATAAATTAATTGATCTATTTATTTATTTTATCACAAAGCATTTCAAACAAAGAATCCTCTACCTATAAATCAACCACAGTAGTCCAGGCACTGGATAAGGAATATTCATCCTGTAACAACCAGCACAGTAGATCAGGTGTTAGTGACAAATGTAACTGCATTGAAGTCCTCATTCACCACCTCCTAACTGGGTATAAAATTGGGCTGATTACTAGTGATCTCTGAATCTAGGCTTTTCTAGTACCCATTAGGCACAATGACATCTCTTATAAAGGGTCATTACAATGATTAGCACGTTCACAATGGGGCTGTAATTCATGTCTTGCGACCAGGTGGCTTGGAACTACTGGTTATACATGCATGACTGTCCCATCAGGCAGCATGGGACAGTCCCATGAGGTGGTACAGGCTGCCTGATGGGCCAGTCATGCATGTACCACTGGTCACTCAAGCCAGTGGGAATATGTTAAGTGAGCTTATGTCCATAAAGCTCCTAGTGCAACTTTCAACCTGTAGTTCTCAGTAAATGGCAATTAATGTTTCTAATATGATTTGTCAGATAGTTTTAGTGATTGTCACATACATCATCTGTGTATTGATGTTGGATTATTAATAATTGATCATGTTAATTGATGATGATGTGAATAGGACTCAACTTTGAAGAGGAATGGAGACTGCCACTTCCATGGAGCTTTGGAAGCTGTCCTGAAGTGACCTTGGGTCAAGGAAAGGCATGTTCAAGTGCATAGTGCCATCAGCCTCACAGGGAGGGTGGTAACCTTCGTTTCCTCCCATAGTGAGTCCATCGTGATCTTCCAGAGACTCTGGTTTAGGTTCTCCCTAGAACACAATATGGAGCCTGTAGGCCTTGGGTGCAGGAAGCGAGGATGCTGGTTCAGTTAGGATGTGCAGAAGTGAGCCCTTGCATGGGTGTTTTGGGTGCCACCTAACTTGGTTTCATGAGTTTTATCTCCATGATCTCCATGGACATATATGAATATTTACCCAGGGCTTAACTTTCCTTATGAATCATGAGTCTGACCTTTTTCCTGGTGGCCATCATGGCACACAGTCTCCTTTTCTGGCTTTACATGAGGCAATTGCTCTGGCATCTCACAAGAGTAAAGTATATTTGTGGGAGTTTTCTTAAGTTACAGAGATGTATGGGGATTTGCTTTTTTGTTGTTGTTTTTGTTTTGTGGTAGTAGATTGAAACCAGGGCCTCCTGTAAGCTGGGCGAGTGCTGTTCTACTAAGTGATGTCCTCTATGGCCTAATATATGTGGGAATTTTGAACTAGGATGGAATAACTTCCAGGCATGTGAATGTGGGAAGTATGGTCAACTCTTGGTTCTCATGTCTTCTTTTTCTTCCATTAAGTCTTTTTTAGAGGGACCCAATCTGCTTTCATGAAGAAAAGGCAGAGGCCAAAAAGAAGATGACTGATTGTCTGTCAGATTGGTATCAGGTATGCAGACATAGATCGACAAAATCATAGACTTGCATCCACTAGGGGGACATACTTCCTTCTACTCAGAATCATTTCCAGAGCATCTGTGCCTCTGTCTGTCTGCCTGTCTATCTATTAAAGAGATGGGGTCTTGCTGTTGTCTATTATTTTATTTGAGACAGGGTGTTGGTATGTAGTTCACACTGATGTTGAAGTCACTGTGTAGCATAGGCTGGCCTTGAACTCATGGCAATCTTGGAAGGCCTCAGCCTCCCAAGTACAGGGATTATAGACATGTGCCACCACACCCAGCATCCATCTGTCTGTCTGTCTGTCTATCTATCTATCTATCCATCCATCCATCCATATTTTAAAGACATAGGGTCTTGCTGTTTTGCCCAGGCTGGTCTTGAACTCCTGGACTCAAACTATCCCTCACCTTTGTCACCCATGTAGTTGAGACTACAGGTGTGCCCCACCGAACTCTGCTTCCCAGACCTTCTTAGAGCAAATAAAGCTTCACTCAAGGACTGAGTCCCTACTTGAATTTCCCCAGGGAGAGGAGCCACCTGGTGAGGGATTACTTTGAACACCTTCCAAGTATTTCACGTTTACTAACCAATCTTCTCTGGTGCTGACTGCATGTTTCTGATGTTGCTGAGCATCCTGGCAGGTGGTGATGGATGTGAAAGTGTCTTTCAGCTCAAGAGTTTATTCATTCCTCACATTTATCAGGCATCTATAGTGTGCTCAAGAGTGTGCTGCCACAGGGGGAAAATAATATGAGCATCTAGTCCAGTTGCACTGTGATGAGATTATGTATAAGAAGGGCCATTAAAGCCATGTGACCAGAGGAAGATCCACAGTGAGTCAGTGTAGACAGAGGGAAGAGTCTCTTGGAACACTGAACCCTGGGGTAGACAGTGGGGGAACTCCGAACCCTATACAGCCATTGGTGTCACTTCCTCATTCTCCTGTGAACACGGGTGGATGTGTTATTTGGCTCAAACCAGCCTGTGTGTGATGACACAGGAGTCAGTGAGCTTTGAGGATGTGGCTGTGGACTTCACCCAGGAGGAGTGGATTTTGTTGGACCCAACTCAGAGAAACTTGTACAGTGACGTGATGCTGGAGAACTACCAGAACCTGGCCTCCATGGGTAAGACTGCTGTCATGCTTTGTAGCCTTTTAGGGAACAGATTATGCTGAGTGCTTACTGTGTTGCAGGATCAGTGATACCAACTGTGGATATGGTGGGAAATAACAGAGATATAGCCCCTGCCATGATAGGCTTTAATCTACAATCGCAGTTCTCAAAATGTGGTCTGAAATCAAGAACATCGAGTCACTCTCACTGTTTGACATGTATATTCTCAGTTTCCATCTTTGAGATACTGATTGGGCTCTGCCATCTTTGTTATGCAAGCTCTCCAGATGGATCTGATGTACTGTAATGTTTCAGAATCACAGTTGTGCAGGCTGGGGGTATAGCTCAGAAGTAGAGTGCTTTCCTAGTAGGGCAAGGCCTTAGGTTCCATTCCTAGCACGCACGCGCGCGCACACACACACACTCACAAAGAAATTCACAGATATGGTCATTTCCCCCATGAAAATTAACATTTCTGTTTCATGTACTTTATTTTCTATTCAGATAAAAGTCTTAGTATTTTGTAAGCATGAACATAAGCCTGGGTTTAGGTTTCAGTGGTCAGAGAACCAACTTTTTGAGGGGCAAGGCAGAATGGATATTTGCATGTTTTAAAAAATTATTTCATTACTTTTATCAGAACCATTATTTCCTGAATCTAGGCAAGGCCCATCATCTCTTCCACTCTGTGAATGTCTTTTTCTTCATATACAGGATGTGAGCTCCTCAAACCCAGCCTCATCTCTTGGTTGGAACAAGAAGAGTTGAGGACAGGGAAGGGAGGAGCTCTCGAAGGTTCGTGTTCCTGCAGAATGACTCTGAGCAGCAAGTTCACTGTTTATAATGAGGAAACTTTTAATCTCAGAAGCTCCAGGTCATTTGCCTCAGAAATTAGAAAGTCTTCAGCCTTCTATATGTTTTTACTTGCTCTCTACTCAATCTTTCCTGTGATCTCACAATATAGGTCGTTGTGTTCATTCTTTAAGCTCACTGTTTTGATGTATGTCTCTTGTCCTGTATTTCCATTTTCTTTGATGGTAATGTCCTTTGTCTTTACCACCAGTTTTAATTTTAATAGAATGTATTTGTCATACATCATCTAAAATTTTAACTCTGTGTCCTTATCTTTGTTGCTGCTTTTTTATTTTTTTAATTTTATTTTGAGACAGTGTCTCGCTATGTAATTCAGGCTGGCCTTGAACTCACAGTGATCCTCTTGCCTTAGCCTCCCAGGTGCTGGGAGTAGAGGCATGTGCCACCATGCCCATCTTGGTGTTTCTTTTGTAAAACCATGTTTAATTTGAAAACAGAAAGGATCCCTGTCATTTTTCACCTCCTCCTTATACTGCCATCTCTGTCTCCAAACCCTTGTATTTCTTTTTCTCTTTGACTGCAGAATGGAAAGTGGGACTTAAAACAAAAGAGTCAGCGCTTCACCAGGATTTTCTGAGGGGACAAACCTCCAGGAAGATATACATGGTAAATCTGACAAGGATTTTTTTCCTTCTTTTCACCTTCTCCTTCTCCTTCTCCTTCTTCCTTCTCCTTCCTTCCTCTTCCTCCTCCTCCCCTCCCCCTTCTTCTTCCTCCTGTTCTTCTCCTTCTCCTTCTTTCTCCCCCCACCTCTTTCTTTTTGTTTTGTTTTCTGAGACAGAGTCTCACTCTATAGTTCAGTCTGGCCTCGAGCTCACTGTGTAGCCCAGGCTGGCTTGGAACTCATGGCAATTCTCCTGCCTCAGCCTCCTGAGTGCTGGGATTAAAGATGTATGCCACCGTGCTCAGCCACAAGGATATTTATTTTCCACATTCAGAGAAGATTAGGAATTCCATTAAACAAAATCAGAAGAGTGAGAGACATTTGAGAAGTTGCCTTGACCTAAGAGAGTGGGAATAGCAGCTGTGGGGGGAAACCTGGAATATGATGAATTTGTAAGAGCCCCAAACCTAGCTTTGAAGCTTCTTGCTTAAAGTTCCCACAAGTACACATTTCTTGGGGCTGGGGATTTAGTCCAGTGGTGCCACTGCCTGCCTTGCAAGCACAAGGTCCCGAATTCCATCCCTGGTACCAAAAAAAAAAAAAAAAAGTACACATTCCTAGATATGTAACTAGGTAGTTTAAAAAAGATTCTTTTGAAACCCTATAGAAATCCTTTCTTTTTTGTACTGGGGATTGAACTCGGGACCTTGTGCTTGCAAGGCAGGGGCGGTACCACTCAGCTAAATCTCCGGCCCTAGAAATTTTTAAAAAATCAAAGCAGGTGGCAGAGCTCTTGGCAAAGCCTTCTATCATTTCACTTAGAAGAAATCAACAAACCAGATGTGGTGACTTGTGCCGGTTTTAGTTACTTTTCTTTGTTGCTAGAACGGAATACCCAACACCCACAAGTTAAAAGAGGAAGTTTATTTAGCTCACAGTTTATAGAGGTTTTAGTCCATAGTTGGCTGTCTCTAAGGCAGAATGGTGTGGCAGAGGGGCATCACAGAGAAGAAACTGTTCATGGCAGGCAGAAAGCAGCAAAGCAGTAAGGTATTGAAGCAGCAGCTTGCCTCTCCCTTTTATCCCTTCCAGACTAACAGCCTTTGGGATGGTGCCACCCATACCCAAGGTGGGTGTTCCCATTATCCACACCCAGAACTATGCTAAACCAATCGGTGGGCTAATGTAGTAATCACCACCCTTAATCCCAGCATCGTACACGCTAGATCCAGGCACTTCTGTAAAGCCCCACCTATGACCACATGAATTTTTTGGGGGGACATCTCAATACAAGCCATAGCAGTGCCTGTAGTCCTAGTTACTTGGGAGGCTGAGGTGGGAGGATTCCCTGAGTCCAGGAGTTTGAGGCCAGCCTGGGCAACATAGTAAGACTCTGTCTCTAAACAAACAATAAATCAGTAGAACAGGAGCTGTATATATGTAATGCAAATGGTCAAATTGAGATAATCATAATAATGTTTCTCTCTTTGGGTGCATGGAATCTTTTAATGAGTCTGAAAAATCTTTTTAATCAGTGTTCATCCTTTTTTATCAACAGGCCGGAAGCCACAATGGAGCAGAACTCTGTGATTGTAAGCCTTGTAGAGACTTTGTCAGTAGACATCCATGCCTTAGGTCACATATAGGAACTCAAAGTACAGGGAGCACTTCTGAGTGTGATCAATATGGAATAGACTTCCTTCCTCCACAAAAGGAAATCTCTATTGAAGAGAAACTTTCTATGTCGAATCAGTGTGAGCCAACCTTCAGCCAACCTCCAGCTGTCCTTTACCCAAGAAGGTGCACTAAGGACAAACCCCTCGAAGGCAGTGACCATAGGGAAGCCTTTGTTGATCCGTCAAAGCTTCAGACTGACAGGAGAATGCACAGTGGAAACAAACTTCATGAGCTGAGGGAATCTGGGATAGATTTCCTTCACTCCAACAGCCATGCTCTGCTGATGCATACTCACAATGCAGAAAAACCCTACAAGTGTAAGGAATGTGGAAAAGGCTTCAGGTATTCTGCTTACCTTAATATTCACATGGGAGCCCACAGTGGAGGCAACCCCTATGAATGCAAGGAATGTGGGAAAGCCTTCACTAGGCCTTGTCAGCTCACTCAACATAAAAAAACTCATACTGGTGAGAAGCCATATAAGTGTACAGAATGTGGGAAAGCCTACACAGTTTCTTCATGCTTAAGTCAACACTTAAAAATTCACATTGGAGAGAAATCCTATGAATGTAAGGAATGTGGAACTGTCTTTACAACATCTTCTCAATTCACTGAACATGTGAAAAATCACACTGTAAAGTCCTTTGAGTGTAAGGTATGTGGAAAATCCTTTAGAAACTCCTCCTGCCTTCATGATCACTTTCGAATTCACACTGGGATAAAACCCTTCAAATGTGAAGATTGTGGGAAAGCCTTCATTCAGAACTCAGACCTCACTAAGCACATCCGCATCCACAGTGGAGAGAGGCCCTATGAGTGTAGAGAGTGTGGGAAAGCCTTTGCCAGGTCCTCCCGCCTTCATGAACACATGAGAACTCACACTGGAGAGAAGCCTTTTGAATGTGTCAAATGTGGGAAAGCATTTGCTATTTCCTCAAATCTTAGTGGACATCTTAGGATTCACACTGGAGAGAAGCCCTTTGAGTGCAAGGAATGTGGGAAAGCATTTACACATTCCTCCAGTCTGAATAATCACATGCGGACTCACAGTGCCAAAAAACCCTACACATGTCTGGAATGTGGGAAAGCCTTTAAGTTTCCCACATGTGTTACACTTCACATGCGAATCCACACTGGAGAAAAACCTTACGAATGTAAGCAGTGTGGAAAATCCTTCAGGTATTCCAATTCATTTCAGTTACATGAAAGAACTCACACTGGAGAGAAGCCCTATGAATGTAAAGAGTGTGGGAAAGCCCTGAGTTCTCTAAGTTCCTTTCAGAATCATGAACAAAGACATACCAAAGATAAACTGTCAGTATAAGGCATGTGGGAAAGCTTAAAGGTGTCCTGTTTATTTTGAAGACACAAACTCTGGGGAAGAAGCCTACAAATGTAAAGCATTTAGAAACATCTTCACTCCTATCTCAGGTCTTAGCAAACATGTAAGAGTTCATAGTGAAGATGATTTTGTGTCAGTTTGGAATGTGAAAAAGATTTTGCTCAATTCTAAAGATACACATCAGAAATCTTGGTGGAGGGAAACCATATGAATGTAGAGAGTCTGGGAAATTCCACAAACCTTAATATGCACATATGAACTCACATTAAAGAGAAAGTTTATGATTTAAATAGTATCGTTCTCCTTTCACTTCATATTTTGAAGCTCTAACCCCTAGTTCCTCACAGTGGAAGAGTACTTGGCCTTCAAACAGGTCATTACAATGAGGCTAATAGAGCCAACCTTTAATACAACATCATCAGTGTCCCTGTAAAAAAAGAAAGTGAATTTGAGTGTGGTGGCACATGATCAGCATCTTGGGAGGCTGAGGCAGGAGGATCACAAGTTGGAGCCTAGTCTGGGCAATTTATTCATACCATGTCTCAAAGAATAAAAAAGGGCTGAGGATATAGCTTAGTGGAAAGGCCCTGGGTTAAATCCTCACTATTAGGGGAAAAAAGAGAAAATGGAAGGAAGGGCACACTCAGAGAAGACCCATGTGAAGTTGCCAAAAGATGACTATTTGCAAACCAAGGACAGAAGTTGAACAGAAACCAGCCCTGTCTACAACTTGATACTGGACTTTCAAACTCTAGATGTGTAAGCCAATAAAATTATTTTTTTACACTTGATCTTAGCCAAAAGGCCGAGAAGTGATTAAAATTATTTTTTTAAGCCAGTCTATGCCATTTTGTTATAACAACCCTGGGAAACTAATAAGGAATGCAGGAAAGGCTTTAGATAGTCCATAAACCATGATATTTGTATATTAACCCAGTGTGCAAGAAGCCTTAGGTTTTAAGGAATGTGAGAAAGCCTTCATTTAGTTTCAGTTGACTGGAAACAGGAAATCAACACGAGAACAGCTCTGTGAATGGAAGGTATGTGAAAATTTTTCTGCTTTTATCATATCTTAGAATTTACTTATAACTCCTCTAGAAACATATCCTATGTGAAAATAAAAAATATAAAAGAAACCTCTGTGAAAGTAAGGAATGTGGCTTTATGTATAAAGTATAGAACTCAGTGTAGAGAAGACCTCTCTTTTTTTGGGAGGGGGTGAGGTCTTTGTTAAGGCCAGGCTGGTCTCAGAATCCTGGGCTCAAGCAATTCTCTCATCTCAGCCTCTCAGTGCTAGGATTACAGGTATGCACCTGGTTCACAAGAATTATTTTACACTTCTAAAATTAGTGCAAATTCCTAGGCATGGCAGGAGGATCACAAGTTTGAGCCCAGCCTGTGCAGTAAGAAACCTGAGCTGCTTATTGACTATTCTGATCAGAAGGCCATCTTTGGGAGACATTGGTGTATAGTGTCTGAGTACACATCCCCATTTGGCCTGCCTGCTAATATCTGCCTGGTAACAGGCCATTCATTTTTTTTGGTACTGGGGATCAAACTCCAGACCTTGTGCTTGTGAGGCAGGCAGTGGAACCATTTAGCTAAATCCCTGGCCCAACAGACCATTCATTCTTGTTTGTGATTGGCTGTGGTAAGATGTGTAGGAAGCCCTGGATTCAAGCCCCCTAGACCTGCCTGGCAACCCTTAGAAAAGCTGGTTAGTATTAGGTGTTTTACTGATTGTTTAAATCTGTAGAAGAGTGGTGAATTTTATTTTTTTTGCTATGATGAATTCCATGATGCAACCTCTGATTTAGTACTAATTGAAAAATCTAACATTTTATTTACCAGTTGATTGAAAATGTTTTAAACTTTTGGCTGTGTAAATTATTTTATTTATTTAGGTTTTTGAGACAGGGTTTCACTATGTAGTTCAGGGTGGTCTTGAACTCACTGTGTAGCCCAAACTGGCCTTGAACTCACAGCAATCCTCTTGCCTCAGCCTCCTCAGTACTGGGGTTACAGGAATGCACCACCATGCCTGGCACTGATGTGTAAATCTAATATTAGTAATAAAACTCTAGGCTCTTTAAGTTGCTTCTATTTTTTTTTAGCCCTTCCAGTCAAATGGGTTTTGAATCATCCCTATCTCTGGTTCTTGAAGGCTTCATTAATAAAAGTAATAATAGACCAATCTTCTTTGTGGTGGTGAGGATGGAACCCATGGTCTCACACATGTTAGTACCTTACCATTGAGCCACACCCCATAAACCCCCTTATTAAACATTGTGGCTGGGGATGTAGCTCAGTGGTGCTGCACCTGCCTGGCAAGTGCAAAGTCCTGAGTTTGATCCCTGGTACCAAAAAAACAAAACACCAAAAAACCTGTATATTGTGGTAAGGCCAGGTCCTGTGGTGCATACCTATAATCCCAGCATTCTGGGAGGCTGAGGCAGAAGTATCCCAAGTTTGAATCTAGCCTGGGAAACTTAGGGAGATCCTGTCTCAGAAAATATGCTAAAATCTACACCGCATAAAATTTAGTTTTAATAATTTTATTTTGTACTTTAATTATTTTTTTGAGGGTCTCACTCTGTAGCTCAGTCTGGCCTTCACCTCACTGTATAGTCCAGACTGGCCTTACACTCATGGTAATTCTGCCTCAGCCTTGTGAGTGCTAGGATGGCAAGCATGCAACACTATGCCCAGCACAAATTTTACTTTATTTATTTATTTTGGAGACAGGGTCTCACTATGTATGTAGTTCAGGCTGGCCTTGAACTCACTATGTAGCTCAGACTGGCCTCAAATTCCTGGTGATCCTCCTGCCTCAGCCTCCCAAGTGCTGGAACTACAGGCGTGTGCCACCATATCCAGCAGCGGAGGCAGTAGCAGCAGCAGCACAAATTTTAAACAGTTACAGCTATTAATTACACTCACACTGTTGTACAAGTTTTACTGTTACCTGTCTCCAGAATTTTGGCATTTCTGAACTAAAACTCTACCATCAAACACTAACTCCCCATTCCTCTCAGGCCCAGCCCCTGGCAAACACCTGTATATGTTGTGTACTGATTTACCTACTATGGGTACCTCATGAAACTCAGTCACAGTATTTGACTTCTTGTGACTGGTTATTTCAGTAAGTATAATCTTCAAGGTTCATCTGTTCAAGGCACGTGCCAGAATTTCCTTTCCTTTTAAGGCTAGCATTCCATTGTATGGAAGTACTATCTTTTTATGGTTGTTTCCACCCCACCCCACCCGCAACACAGGATTAAAAAAGGAAGCTGGACTCAGGATCCTTCGTTTAAATCATTTTAATTCACACAAGCAGTGAAGCCAAAGGAAATAGATACGTCCTAGCTGATAGGTCTCCCACTACCTCAGCAGCTATTATGTATAGTAGCTGCCCTCTTCCTATGGTGCCTTGCCCCCTCCCCTGTGTGACGTCATGCCAAGATGGTTGCTCCCACCAAAGAACAAACCCTTCTTCCCAGCATGCCCCTGTTCCCACCTAGAGAGTAACCTAATACTTGTTCACCTCCTATCACCTAGTGACATCACTGGCTCCTCCATTCCCTAGTCACTACCTCACTCAACCCCACCTCAACCCCTACAAACCCCACCCCAGTCTCTATAAAAGACTCTCCCTGCCCCAGCCATATTGCTTTTGTCTCTCCTTTGTTCAGAGATAGCCCGGCAGATCTATTCCCCTAATAAAGGCTTGTTGTGGCCTGGTCTGGTCTTGGTTTTCAGCCCTTTTACCTGACACTAGCAAAGGAATTAAAACTTTTTGTGTCACTTTTACTTTTTCCCTTAAAACACATATACAACTCAGGTTATTTTGCATATGCTGCTGACAAAATGGAATCCTCCTTCCCCCTCAGTACTGGAGATTGAACTCAGGGAGTACTGAGCTATATCCTCACCCCTTTTTTAAAATTTTGAAACAAGGTCTCACTAAATTGCCCAGGCTGTCTTCAAAATTGTGATCCTCTTGCCTTAGCCTCCTGAGTAGCTGGGATTACAGGTGTGCACTATTGATGTAGGAGGTAGGGTGTGGGAAAGCTGGCTGGGAAAATAAGTGGAACCTGTCAATTATAAGATGCCAGGGGAGTGCCAAATAATTCCCAAGATCCCATATATGGGACTTCTGATGGGCTCCCGTGACAGGTGGACAACATATAAGGATACAGATGCCACAGGGAGCCCACTATCATGACTCTTCATGATGTTATAGACAGATGAGTTAGGTAGATATAAGCAGTCAGGGATAGGGATAGGCCCCCAGAGGGTTAGGGTAAAGGTGAAACAAACACACTATAGGGGTGACCAGAGATACATTGGCTGAAAGCCAGACCTCAAGATAAAGACAAAATGACTAGACCTACACATTTCCTCCAAGGATGAACACTGGGCCTAATGAAGTCTAGATAGACATCAACCACCCCAGTGGGTGACCAGAGACCTCTGGACCCATCACTTTCTAGGAGAATCTTTCTTTCCATCACACTTGTTATGTGACTTGTTCCCCAACTGGACTACTATTACCTAAGTGACTACACTTGTAACCTTATTGGATGATCATGGGTGTGGCCCACGTTGTATCCACATGGATTTCACCTTATAAAACTCCTTTGTAAATGGTTCCTGGGGCTACCCATTGGAGACCCCTCCTGCTCCTCAGGAGCTTTCCTAACAATATCTTTGTACTCCTAACCTCCTTTGTTCCTGGAATTCATTCTTTGATTTTTAGGAAACAAGAACTCAGAGTATCATACAGCTAACAGGTTTGGAGATATAACTGTCAGGTAAAAAGGCTGAAAACCAAGTTTTAGCTATTACAAACTGCACTGCTATGAACATGGCCACACATATATCACTGTGGTATGATTCTTTTAATTCTTTGGGGAAGATCCCCAGCAGTGGAATAGCGGGGTCAAATGGGACT